GGAAATCGAGTTCTTTGTAGGCAATCATTGTTCTGAGGCGCCCACCGCATGCATGACAAAAAACCATGATGGTTAAGTCAGTTAAGCTATCAAGGTGTGCACCATCGCATTGGTCTTGAAGACGATCTTGAGTCTACCTTTTTTTTTGCTAAAATTCGCTCGAAATAGAGGGTGGCGAAAAATTACGTGCGTGAAATTTTCGCTTTTTCTATAGTTGACGAAGATGTTGTGCGCGCTTTTTCTTTCAAAATGCTTAGCTAATTCGTAGTTTGCAAAAAAGCATCTGTTTTCCGAGCTCGGGCCAAGTTGCAGTGCGAGGGCGCGAGTGCGCAAAGAGCTGGGCTGAGAACTCAACGGTTTTCCGAGGCTCACAGTCTCTAGAGCGTTCCAGACAACAGTAAAGCGACGGAAAGGGGGAGAGCAGCTCTCAACTGAGCTTATAAGAGAATGAGAATGAAGTAGCAAAAATAGATGGATGCGGAGAATCGCTAAGAAGATGAGTGATAAAAAAAGATCGCAAGAGTTTGAAGAAGAGTGTCAAACGGATTAAAACTCAATAACCTGTCAAAATAATAGTGAAAATTAAGCAAGGGATTGGGTCATCTCTTAGGTAGACAATTTCCAGCCGTTCAGCCAAAGCAGTATCGGAACTAGAATAATACGAAGTCACGGGATTCCTTCGAGGTGCGGTAGTCCTAGGTCGTCCGTTAAAGCGAGAGATTACGATAGAAGAACGAGCAGCACTTCAAGCAGTAGCTAGAGCCCAAAGGAATCGAGATGTGGCCTTTTTGTGACTAAAGGTGCGCTCGTTGCAGCGCCCTGGGGCTGCCAATCCTTTCTGAGCTCCGCCTCCGCCTGTGCTCCGCCCCTCAGCAGATCGCTGTTCGATTATCATTCTGATAAGGTATGCCACTTCGAGCGCGTATCCAATTTTTTTCTCATGGAATGCTATATCAATCAAGGTATGATCTCTGGTGGTATGATGGCAGCTATGGTTTAACGAGTGCCGACGACCTCTTAGTTGGTTGCCAACTCGTCCATTATCGGAGGTCAACGGGCAGAGGAAGTGGTCCCATTTTGCGCGTTTTTGACGGATTTCTTTGCTTTTTTCGCTACTAGGGCATTATTCAGCATTTCCACTTCCACTATGAACACAACACAATCCTATCGTAATCTCTCGCTTTAATTCACAGAAAATAGTTTACTGTCTGAGGGGCTAAGAGGTCATTCACTTTCAGAATCGCACTCCACTTTTATCTCAGTTCTCAGGAACAGCTTGATTATAAAATACCCTCAAGAATTCCTTGCCATGGAAGTTTATGAGTTGGAGTCATGTCATTGGGTGGTGACCCGAATGGTCGCGTAGGCAGTGAAGGAAGAGGCCTGAAAAGGGTGCACGGAGGTAGAGGGATAGGAGTGAGGAACCGCGAGGGAGAGAAGGTCCTGGACCTGGCTACGGCCCACGACGGAAATCGACCATGTGCTCGTAAAAAGTCATCCCTCAGAACTGTGAAGGACGTCAAGGTACTCCCTGGCGAAGAGCTGGCTTCCCAGCACAGGCCACTCCTGGCAGACATAGCCATGGACCTCCCAAGAAGACAAGGGTAAGAACCGAGAGGAGAATCCGGTGGTGGAAGTTGCACCTGCGGAGAAGAGTGACCTCAAACGAAGGATAATGGAAGTTGGTCCCGCAGATGCTAGATGCGCCAAGGAGATACTGGAGAAACGCGAGGTGGATCAGAGGAGACAAGGCAGCGTGGTTCTGGAACGAGGAGGTCCAGCGAGTCGTGAAGCAGAAGAAGGAAGCATACAAGCGCTGGCAGAAGACCCGGAGCCCCGAGACCTCGCTACCTACAAGAGTTGCAAGAGGCTCGCTAAGGCTGCCGTCGCCAAGGCAAAGAACACGGAGATGGACGCCTTGTACGAGAAGTTGGAAAGCAGAAACGCAGAGAAGTTCGTCTTCAGACTGGCCAAAGCCCGGCATCGGGCTACTCAAGACATCAGGGTGGTGAAGAGCGTGAAAGCAGCGACGGCGCCATCCTGAGGAAGCCAGCCGAAGTCCGGAGGAGGTGGGAAGAGTACTTCAGAGGCTTCTGAACGAGGAGTTCCCCACAAGAACAACTCACGGGCAGAGGCCACAGCTGGTCCCATCGCACTCTGGACAGAGGATGAGGTTCGGTGTGCACTTGGGAAGATGAAGGTTGGAAAGGCAGTTGGTCCAGATGGAGTACCCATAGAGGCTTGGAAGGCGCTGGAGAGCACGGGGTAAGGTGGCTCACCCGCTTCCTGAACACGGTGACTGCCGAAGGAAGGATGCCGGATGCCTGGAGAACAAGTACTATCGTCCCCATCTTCAAGCAGCTCTCTCATCAGATCATATAATATCCGGTTTTATTTGGATTCGCTGGGTATCCCCTTTTGGGAACCATTTCACTTTATGCAGACAAGCATTGCGAAGGTAACCATGGAATAGCTCCCGAAGTTGGCCGCAGCAGTGCGGGAGAACGGTTCGAAAAAGTCTCAAAATCTCCTTTCTCCGAAGGACCGCCCGAAATCACATTGCAAAGATAACTCGCCACGTTTCGAGGGAAACTGGCTGGACCACGACACCACATCTATCGTATAGCCTTGACATTGCTCCATCGTACTATCACCTTCCCAGCTAGAGAGGGAAATGCCAGTAAATACAACCACCCCAAAAACGACCTCTCCGAGCTTTTCATCTCACAGCTTCACTCGTTCTGGGAGGAATGCATCCATTCGTTCCCTAGCAAATGGATGCATATCAGTGATTATGATGGTGGTTATTTTTTGATCAATTGTTTTTTTAGGAAAGATAAAACTTGAAGAAATCAAAGTGTTGAAATTCGGCCAGAAATTATGGGACAACCCAATATTGAAACAAAACCGAACTTAACACACTAAAAAAGATTCCGCACCAAGTGCGCCACAGCGTTCCCGGCACATAAGCGCCAGGCGCATTTCCCCGTAGACTTCCATTAATGGTAAGGTCCCCGGCTACTGTTCATGTCTTGATGGCGTCGAATTTGCCCTGGTTCTGCCATCTTCTTTTGTTTTCTTTGAACCTTTATGAACCTCTTTTAACCTTGGTGAACTTCTTCCATTCTCCTGCTTCTCCTGCCTTCATCCATCTACCATTTAAACTACTGCTATTCCACTGCTACACAGAAACTTGTCTTCTCCCTTCCTTGCAGAAATGAGCCATGTGATCAAATCTCAGGGAATGTCAATTGTCTATACGGGTCGAAGATGAAACTTGCTGGCAGATTACTCAGGCGTGCTCTCGTCATGGGCACCAATGCTGGCGTTTCATCAAGGCCTCATCTGCATGCAGCCTTACCATTCAGGTGCGATCATTGGAACTGCGCATTGGGCTCATACAGATGTTTGCTACAGTTGCCTGCTAATTGCGTCCGGATGTACCTCCGATTTATAGCGCAAGGGGGTCCTCATCAAAAGTGACTGGAGGTCCATGATGAGGTCGAACTTTGCAGCTCCTATCGTCTTTGCCGATGCTATTGAGCCAATAGCTCAGTGCCGATCAGTAGCAAAGAGCTGGGGCAAACGTAGCGCTGATCTTGCCTACCGCGCTCCTAGCATGGGTTTTCCTGAAATTGTCGTAGCATAATCATTCGTATTCCCTCGTGCTATTTCAATTCGTACGTTCCTAATTATCTCCGGCGCAATTTAGAGTTCTCGAATTCATCCTGGCTGAAGGCTCCGATGTGCTCTTTGACTTATCAGGTTATTTCGTTGTGAAGCTAATTTTACCAGAAGAAATTGAATTTGCATCAAAATCGGCCAGGAATTATGGGACAACCCAATGGTTTCGTCGTTCTAAGGAAAGCTACAGATGAATTGTATGCATAAGGACTTCGAACTCATTTTGCAGCAGTAGTGAGTCGCTGGAGTCACTGCTGCAAGAGAGGAAGCCGGAACAGGTGAAGGCAGACCATTTTCAACCGAAGAAACTTTCTGCAACCGATACCTGAATTTTTTCGGCGATCCCACAACGCCTGGACAAAGCATCCTCGCGATCACTGACACATGGACAAGCATCGCAACTGGATGCGGAACGTGCCGAAGAAGCTGCAACGAAACATGAATTCCAGCAGAAAACAACCATGCGCACTATGTTAGCAATGCTGTTTATAGAGGGAAGGTTCTTCCACGGAAACTAGAAAGCGGCCTGTAGAGAGAATCTGATGTCGAAACAAGCTCTGAAGGTGGCAGAGACACCTGCGAGAGCAGGATACAGTAGGGTAGAGATAGAGCACCCCATCTAAAAGAAGGAGTTAAGAAAAGGACATTTCGGGTGTTTAGGTGAAAAGAGCACTTAAAGTCGAAATAGGATCATACCCGCAGCTTCGAGCCAGAAATGATTGGGCAAAATTAAAACCGAGAAGAACAGACGCAGAATCAACATTAGTAAATGACTGCTCGGTCGCTGCAGCTCAGTGTACATGTTGCAGATGTTGAGAGCACGTTTCAAACGGTTTTTGAAAAAATAGCATTCTGTACCAATTGCTCTCGACCTGGGCACATGGCCAAGGCAAGCAGGTGAAATTTTTCGAGATAGTCCCCCGGCCTTCATCCACTAATTGCTCCTATTCGCCTACATGGACATCCCTGTGAAGTACGCTAGTCACGTTACCACCTTTTATTTCCATTCAAAATATCCAACGGTGAAGGAACCTGGTTTTGGAAACATTGCAAAATGTATATGGTACACCTAGTTAACAAAAATCAACAAAAACCACAACTTCGTCCCATTCGAGCACTTGCGCGTCGAAATGTGACCGAGCAAGCACATCTGATTCTCGAAACTTCCGAATACATATGGTTACGAAATGCTTTATAGAATGGTTCGGAGCAGGTCATAAGTGGCAACAGTATAGCCCGTGACGTAAAAACAAATTTGACGCATGCAAATATTTATAAAATAGTGAACATATTGTCACTCTTCACAACTTCTTCGTTCACGGATCGAACTGAAAAGATCACATTTTGCGACAAAAACAAAAATGTCTTATTTTTTAGGTGAGCCACTCTTGTCCGCAAGGTGTCACCAAAACCATAAAAAAGCGCTATCGCAAGATATGCATCCTCTTGAACTAGACCTTAACGGGAATCGTTCGGGAGTGTAAATTGCTAACGGAGAGTTCCATAGCTGACTATCGTAGCGTGCGATCAGTGTGGATTAGCGACTGTTCAAAAATGAAAAGTCGATTAGGAATAGCTTCACCCATGAGCGATCCGCCTACTCGCGGCTACTCGCCTACAAGCTCTAAGGCGGAGCGTAAACCATATCAATACGTATGTGGTATTCACCCTCCACTCGCCCCACTCACCTAACGACTCCGCTACTTTTCATTTGGATCATTCACATCTAATCGCCTAATCTATACTAGATTTTTCATTGAGACTAATCGCCCTGACCGCCTAATCCCACGCACAGAATCGCCCAACTTAGGACGCTCCATAAGGCTGGTGTTCCGGCATTTTCACAAAACGCTGCAGTTTTGCTGGACGATACGACTCACATAGGCAGAAACTTGCTTCTCTTTGACTGTTGGACCTTTTGGAGAAAAGCTCGGTGGGGTGGTTGGTTTTAGTGTGTCAGCTCCTTTGCCAAACGGTGTCTCTCTGGCTGAAGGCACATGAAACGAGTACTTCCATGCCATTTCATCGTCCCACATTGTGTCTGCAACTGAATAATCTCGCCTTCAGTAAGTAGTATTGCCAACAATGTCTCTAGCAGTCATGGTCCAAAGCAGTTCAAAGATAGGACAGCTTCAACGTTCGGAATCAGAAAGCAAGTACCTAGAGCGACCAGAGAAAATTATGCTTGCGCTGCATAACCATTTTTCGATGGCTTTAACAATACACTGAAGCCGCTTCTTGCTAGTGCATCGTGAAGAAATATGCGTCTGTAAGTTGTTCATCAAGTCGCATCGTATGTGCGAATCAAGCGATCAGGCGCGCGTAAGTCCGATTAGGCGATAAGCGAATAAGGGTGTACGTACTGATTTTGTTCGCTGCCGCCCATGACGATCGCCAAGTGGCCTATTCGCCGCTACCCACACTCCGCCTACAACGCTCTATGGGCGGAGCAAACCAATCAATATGTATGAAGCCTTCCACGCCTAATCGCTTACCCGCCTAATCGCCTACTCGCCTACCGCCTAATCGAAAAACGGCTCGTACGATCGCCAACTATGAACACTCATCAGAAGTGCAATATCACAATCATGCAAGTTTCGCCAAGATTGCTGAGTTATGGGCAAAACTTTTGGCCCAGACAGGAATTGAACCCGAACCTCAGACTTGCTATGAATTTGATTCCCGTCTGCGTTAAACGTTTACCCATAACACGGCATTCCTGTGAAATATTCACAAATGGAACTGCGGCGATGAAACAGCGGCAAGAACTTCAAAGCTTTTTGGACTAAAAATTGGTAGTTCAATAAAAAAATTGGTAAGTTATAATTAGTGATTCACCAAACGCAAGTTCTGAATTGATCGCTTATGTAGAGAAGGGAGCAAGTAGTGCGAAAGCTCGTGTCGTCAACAATTCTAATTTTGCAAGGGAGGAAGCCCTGAACTGCGCAATCATCCAGCTCTGCTTTACAACTCCTCAAGGGTCCTCTCCCCCACTCAAAAAATTGGACTGGTTTCAGCGCATGAGATCCATCAACGCCCCCGTTCAGTGCACAGGCTCTGAACACATAATCCTAGATGGTCTTCACGGCATGCCTCACCCACTCTCCCGAAAGCAATGAACATACAAACCTGTTGTCGAGTTGTAGTAGACAGGTAAGTCAGCGTATCTTGAGTAAATGGGCCGTGGAGCATCACCAGAATCGTTCAAGTTTAAGTTTTCGAGTTGCTTGGCATGAGGTAACGTGCCGTGAAATCCGGACTGCACATAGGTTGTGGTGTTGGCAGCTCCGCGAGCGAGTTCTAGCTGAATTCGGCGAGCATCTCTCGAGGAAGGTTTGAGCTACGAAAACTATTCCAACTTACATCAGCGGCGTAGACAGAGGGCACAGCTCGTGGCTGATCATCCAAGTGATACGAATAGGGCGCTGGCCGCTGCATAGCAGATGTGGATGGGTGAAGCTGTGAGTGACGCTCAACCCTTGCATCTGCTTTTTATACTCTGATAATGAATATACCAGAATGAGAAACTTAAAAATGATAAACAACCCAAGAAAATTGTTATCGTTGTTCCTTCTTCTGACTGTCTGGCTATGCTTGCATAATGACTTGAATGAAATGGTCAAACAGGACATTCAACAAGACGATACGCCTGCTGTAAACGGAAGCTACGACTCTGATGGAGTGTTCATAGTTGGCCGATCTTACGTGCCTATTAGGAAGAGTAGGCGATAAGGGTAGGATACGTATTGACTTGTTGAGCGATCGCATAATCCCCCAATCGCCTACTCGCCTAAAACGATCTATGGGCGGAGCGAACCAATGTAGTCTTTCAGCCACCGCTTTTTTTTTGTTTTTTACTCACCTAATCGCGCCCAATCTATACGTACATTTATTTTCATATGTAGACTAAATGCGCTGATCGCCTATATTGGGTCTGCTCCCTATCACAACGAACCTGTAGCTTCGTTCAGAGAGTCGTTTAGCAGATATGAAATGCAGATTTGAGGTCCGCGTCGAAGGTCTTATGCAGCTCATTTCGAATGGCCACTTCGACCTACCATCCTTCCCTTGTAAGAAAAATTGTTGGGGAGGTTCTAGGTTTGAAGACCGTCATTAGTTTTCATTTCACATAGAGAGAGGAGAAATCGAAACTATAAACGGTATCGTCATGCCACAACGAACTAATCCTGATTGCATTGAGTTTCATTTTCAGTTGTGTTTCGGTAGTTAAAATTGCAAGATTTTAACTGTTTCATAACTTGAGCCTTCTACTCCATGATTCCATCGAAGTTTGATGAATCAGCATGACCGCACGAGGCTTAGCGAAACCTATCTTAAAATTACGACGTGACAATGACGGCGATATGAAAACATAGAGTTTGAGTGGTACCGGTAACAGCTGCTTCTTCTCGCTACTGGACTTTCCAAATCAAGTAAACCTGCAGTACAATTGCTAGGCAGTAGATAAATAAAAGAACCGATACAATGCGTTTTATAAACCGGACAGTTTCGTTCCGAATGATATCTGACATTATGTGAAAACTTGCGATTTTAGAAGAAAAATTTCGATTCGAGTCGATTCGAAGTGGAAACGAGACTTCTTGGACAACCTAGTACTTTCTGCTTTCTCTATGGGCTATGGGGAAGTTCTTCGCGGTTCTTAGCGTTTATTATTTTATTGGCTTTTTGACAAAAGCTGTTTCGGTTTTACTCTCTGGTTGGATAAGATGCAGGTTTAATTGTGAGTCCAGCTGCTGACAGTACAAGTCCACCTTGGCAGCAGCAGAGCTCGGCCGTAGCTCGTAGTGGGCGATGCTTAAGCATCCTACCAAAACTACATACGTACACACCTTTCAGAGGATGAGCACTTCTGACGTCTGATGCCCGCTCGACTGTCTCTTAATCACCGCAGTGTGCACGGCGAACCTGGATAAGGTAGCGTAAAATCCTTCTATTTTATAAAGCGCTAACTTTGTGTGTCGGTTTGTATGTCTGTATGTGTGTATGTATGTATGTATGTATGTATGTATGTATGTATGTATGTATGTATGTATGTATGTATGTATGTATGTATGTATGTATGTATGTATGTATGTATGTATGTATGTATGTATGTATGTATGTATGTATGTATGTATGTATGTATGTATGTATGTATGTATGTGTGTCCGTCCGCAAAATGAAGTGAGTGAGAAGGAAGCTCATGGGATAAACAAACCGCTAACAAATCGGGTAGCTTACAGGATTTGAGATATCAATGTTTTGTAGCAGGATAGTTGTGATAACACTCTTAGGGCTATATAAACACCTGCTTAGCACACTTCCGTTCATTCCACATGGTGCTGCAGTGGCAGCTGGAGGGCAGTGGAGAGAGGAAGGGAGGATGAGGAAGGGAAGCGAAAAATCTACCGTCATATCATGATTGTGTCCCTTCTACTGTATGAAACACCATTGTGTTGCATACGCGTCACTTCCAGGTGTTGGTGTCACAGGAGGAAGGGACCATAGCGGAGGATAGAAAGCTTGCGCAGGAAAGGAAGGTCCCGGCGGTTGACGGGGGACTAATCTGGTATAATAAATTGAGGGCTGAATCAAAATCTGATATATCTGGTAGCAGCCACTTTGAAACTTGTATTCAATTGTAAAATGTTTCGATTGAAAGGCAGCGATTACGATAGATCCTGGAGGGTTTAGAGGGGACGTGGGGGTGCTCAATAGTACGCCAATGGCGAAAAAAGCAAAGAAATCCGTCAAAATAGCAAAATAGTACCCCTTTGATTGCCCTTTCATTTTCGACCATGGATGAGCGGCGACAAAGAAAGAAGTTGTTCGGACGTGTTAACCCCGATAGCCGCCATCATGCCAACAAGCATAGTGTTTTGATTGATAAGGCATTACATGGGCAAGTTGGAAGATACAGCCGCTAAAAGGGAAACATCTTCCAAATGAAAAGCCAACAGCAAACAGCTCGCCCAAATCACCTGAACTAGTGGGCGTAATGCTTTCGAGGCGCTATTCGCAGCCAAGGCGAATAACACGTGGCTGCAAATAGCGAATTTGCTGTTCACAAAATTTGCTTGTGAGTATTTGCTGACATTCATTGTGAGCAGCTATAAGAGGCAGTTGTGAAGTGTGTTGAAAACAACAAGGAGGAACCTCGCCAAGAAAGAGGTCTCGAAACTTCTTTCCTGTGTGACCCAAACCGCTGACCGTAGCGCTTTTACGCTTCACAAGCTGTTCAGAATATCGTCAACTAAATTCAAGGGACAGTCTGTGATCAGCGTTTCAAGACAAATGCAAAGGTGTACACCTCGCTGCAAACGCCTGGTTGGCCTGTTGACCCTTCATCGAAAGATTTACAGCAGAAACACGTCATAAAACTCACCGATTAGCAGTTGAGCTGTCGGTTGGTACGCCTTGGTTGCCCGTCGAGCCTGTAATTTTTTTCTCAAGAAAACGAGGAGTACGTTGACGGAAGCTGATGTTATCTTCCAGCTTGCTTCATCAACGCACGTGCAAAAGGATGGGTATCGATTTTGCGTGCGCGCCCGATACCCATTTCTTGCGCGCGCATCCTGATGGGATTCGAATCCCAACAACCCCGTTGTGACTAATGAAACAAATCTTACGTGAATCACTTTCGAACAGGCTCCGACGACGCTGCAAAGAAAGCGTTTTCAAAATCCATTTATTTTATTTGTTTTTATTACTGTGCATCGACAGACACTTTTCGTAATATGCTTATCAGTTTTATTAGGTTGGCACGATTGAAATGTCGTTTTCGATCATCATTATTTTCATTATAAAAACAATAATGAAGCACATCAACCTGAACCATCTCCTTCACCTGTGTCACAGGCTCATCACCTTTCGTTACGCAAAGCATGGATGCCTACCGCGTAGAACTCTTTCTGGTTCGACTCGAAGAAGTTGGGCACTCAAATTTTGACGTCGTCGCGGTTATCGAATTGGTTTGCTGCTAAGGAGTGTTGCGCTGACCTGGGTCAGTGATAGTCGGACGGCGCCAGACCTGGGCTATATGGCGCGAGAGGCAGAGCGTCCCAGCCCAACTCCTCGATTTCTTGTTGCAAGAATTTTCGCGACATGTGGTCTTGCATTATCGTGCCATAATTTTTCATTGGCCGAATTTACCCTTTGACGACGCGGAGCTCGGCCCACGTGGTGGAGCTGTTATACGCAGAGTTCAGCTGTAACTGTCTGACCACACAATCAGCTCTCCATAGTAAGCCAGTCTTATACTGTTCACCACACCGTAGCACGACTTTTTCTCAGTGGATGTCCAATTTCGAAGTCATCCTCAGCTGTCCATCTGCTCCCAGCCGTGGCCATCTTCTCACGTTATTATTGGGAAACATCTCTTTGTAAAATGCGGTCAACACGAAGTCAAGAACCTTTTTCTTGAAGTTATGGAGCGAAGTTCCAGTATTGGCAACCAGTACTGCTTGCTCGCGTCGCTCAGAATAGGCCGAACCCATTTTCTATCCTGAAAGGCCTTAACAGTCGCACGTAGGAACTTTTAAATTTTTCTGTTGACACAACTGAATCTCCATGCAAGTTTTGTGCGGTTTGTCGAGGACTCAATTCGTTGGCTTTCTTTATTTCTCCGTCATCTAGAGCTAGAGGTCAAAATCCACGATCTTCGTCGCCAGGTCCTTTACCTCAGTCTTGGAAGAGCTGAAACCATAGCTGAAAGTGCATCAGAGACTAAGTGTTACTGCTCAATGTTTTGCACACAATGAGTGGGATTCGTTGGCCGTTTTTCCTTGCTTGAATATATACGCTCAGACGATGATTTCTGATCATCATCTTCGAGCAAAAGTTTTGGCTCGAAGAACATCCGCTCAGTGGCGCCTAAGATTTCGCAATATGCGCGCTGAATCGCTCTCTCGAATGAATGGTCTCCCATCCTAAGAGATTGTGTTTAAGCTGAGAAACAAAGGCACAAACGGAAGCGACATTCAAATCTTGCCAACCTAATAGATAGGGATAAATTGAAGCTTCGTTATGGAGTAACAATAGACTAGATCAATTAAAATCAAGAAAAGTTGAAGCTGTGAAGCTGGATCCAAATTTCTGTGCTACAGTTGGGGGAAAATTGGCAAAAGGGAACAAGTCAAATAGGCGTGGCAAGAAAGTATGGCTACTTTTCAAATGCAATAACTCTGTAGTTTTGTGGAAGGTACGCAGGTGATAGTTGAGCTTTGATTATGAAGTAAAATAAAATGCACAAAATTTCTATTTCCAACCTGTAAAGATTTACGACTAGATCCTGCAAACATGCTTCCTAAAATAAAGCTCCATAATTTGTGAATGAATAAGAATGATCTAATAAAGCATTTGTCTTGAATATAATGGCCGAATGGGATTGCCCGCGGAATCTCAAATCTAAATCTTACAGTCAACCTACGGCCTAGACTCCCGTTTCCTTTGCTAAGGTCCCCACCCCCCTCGCCCCATATCATTCGCTGGTTGAAAAGTGCGTGTCCTTTGCTTCTCCTAACCTCCACTTCTCAGCGCAGCAAATATGATTTCCCTCCTGCTAACTAGGATTTCTTCGACCGTTTTTCACACTGCACGGACTTTAGAACAGGGACAGATCTAGCCTAACACCACACATCTTCGCAATCCGTAACAAGCCCGAAAAATTTGGCCTTCATTTTTTTATGGCTCATGGTCAGTAGGTTTAAAGCCTGAAGTACTATACCTCTACTGTCGATGCTGCGAGCTGTTGTGACATCTACCGAAGGAGAGAAGTTTGGAAGAGCTGTACGGGTACTACCTAAGAGAATTTTCATCACTATGTATGATTTGGTAGATTCAGAGCCGGAAGCAGACCTCTACTGTCGATGCTGTAAGCTGTTGTGACATCTTTTGAAGGTGTGAAATTTGGAAGGGCTGTACGGGTGCTGCCTGAAAAGATAGTCATCATTTCGGTGACTTACAATTATTGGTTGCAAAGTGAAAGAAGTCCTACCTCTACTCTCGATGCTATGAGCTGTTGTGACATCTACCGAGGGTGAGAAATTCGGAAGAGCTGTACGGGTACTGGCTGCAAGCATATTTATAATGAGTACAATTCAACAATTCAACAACGTCGCTGAAGAATTGAAGTTTCACCCTCGCTGTCATGCAATACTCGTCTAAGCTGTTTGATAAAGTGTGTCGAGGCTTTTTGATCGCATAGATCCTTCATGGTGTGAAGGCTTTTTTTTGAACGTTCCTTTTCCTAATGCTTTCGCGCACGGAAATGATAATTATTTTTCCAAAGGGCCGCGGGAGTGCCAACAATGAACTCAAAAAATTAGTTGGGAATCGAAAATTTCGGAGCATTGTGTGTATTGTGCGAAGACTTTCGAGCAAGGCGTTGATATTGGCGAAGAGATAGATGCCATTGAACTCATTCCAGGTCTCCCGCGGCGTTGTTTTCGAGTGATCGAGATCACGGTAAAGCTGTGATTCCGTTGTACTCCAAATTCTAAACTAAATCAGGTGAGTTCCATATTCACAAATTGAGAGGTCATCCATTGAATGTGATAAAATCAAATATCTCTATCTCGGCTCCTTGCAAAACTTTACGCAGAGTTGCCATCCTTTTGATGATACCTACAGTTTTTGTGGGACTCTCCTAAACCAGACGTAAGATTCTGAGAAATACCCATAATTAATGATGTTGACCACAGAATTTGTAAAATGAACATGTAAGTGCAGTGCCCCTCTAGTGGCGGCTAATTCTACCGATAACATTGGTGCAGTGTCCCTCTAGTGGCGGCCAATTCTACCGATAACATTGTCGTATTGCATGACTGCAGCGAGTGATGGCCGAAGTGGGCCTCATGCATGAGTACGCTCGGTTAATTCGCTTGCTCACTTACAACTCGACAAAAAATTGGTTATAGGGAAAATGGGTATTTTCATGTGCTATCGTAGAATCACAGAAGAAATCTCCCCAAGCGACCGCCTCTTGTCATATTGCTGTCATTAGAAGTAGACGGTTCTTTGCGTGCTTGTATGCCTTCTATTAACTATTAACTTTTTTGTAGTTTTCTGTTATTCTGGCCATAAGTTTCCTGTAACGTGGCATTTTCCGAATATCTAATCATTGTCGGAGTCATAAGGCGGAAAACGCGAACGATCACGTATTTCCTGGCATTCGCCTTGCCCATACCATGAACCCTCCACTTTTACGTCATTCAGAAACGTTTATCAGAGGCGTAAATCTCTCGATGCTTGTCGATACATGTTTCCATGTTTCTTGATGTGGTGGCTATCGCTCGTAAGCTTAAGCTTGTCGTCGTGCTTGGGAGTGCGTCGTGGATATTCTTCATCATGTCAAAATGGAGGTCAAATACTCGCGAAATTGGAAGAGACACCACACTTGGGAAAACTACTGCAAATTCTTTTATTAGAAGAACTGGGATTCTTAAGAAGATGAAGGTTATACGGGTGTGTTTCTGTAATTTTACCCCACTCTGTAGTAGCACCAAGACCATGATAAGAGGTTTAATTAATATCCTTTGCTGCCAACTCCCAAAACTGTAGCTCTCACGATGCATTCTCACCTGTTTGTGGTGTTCTCGAAAACTCTGCTTCCTTTCTTGGTGTTGTAGAAACTGCAATAAAGTAACTTTGGACGAACTGTCTGCATTTCACTACAATTCTTGGAATTTACATTTATTAGTATGTTTTCAATGTACAGCGGCGTCAAAACCGGATGGCGGAAAACTCATATTAGAAGAGACTGGGACTGCCTATTGGCATTTGCACCACAACACAGCACTGAGAGCCCGCCAGCTTTAAGGATGGTTGGGCGATTTTTCATGATAACCTGCATCAACTTTCCCGCTAATTTGTAAAGGTCTTCTTGATAGTTAGAGTAGTGAAGTATTTTGTTACCTTGTTTGGCCGTATCAACTCCTCTGGTGGGGGTCATTGTCTCTGAAAATATTGCAGTTGCACTCACATAAGTGATCGCTAATATTCCACTATTACTCCGTGATTATCAGATTTCCTACTTGTAGTCAAAACTTTGCCTATAGAGATCATTCAGTGTTCTGTAAGCGACATTCACATTTGACACTGGCGCAATTAGGCGACAGTTGACACACTTTGACACGGCGGCTGTTTTTACTAAAACCGATGTAAAGTTGTATACAGGGGCTATTTGGTGCCTGATTACGAATATGATATTACTGTTTGGCGCTGACGTCATTTCATGCCTGCTATGCTCCACTACTTAGATCGCGATCAGCGCTAGAGTTTTAAGGAGAGGAGGGCTCATGGGTGTAGTCTACCCACCCCGTGATCTCACACACTTCATCCTTTGCCTACAATGTGTGAGTTCCCCCCCCCCTCCCAAGCTCTCCGCACCATGGATTAAGTTGGCTTCAATTACTTCTTCGCACGTATCTTTGAAAAATTGCTCGCGGAGTCACAAATGCAATCTCTAATGTCCATCATAGATGCTGGTAAATAGTCTATTAGTCTTTGTAGTGGTGATCGACGGATGTTTCAAAAAGTACTGAATCTGCATTGCAACACAAGGAAACGGCTCGCAGGAGCGAAACAGTAACGTTTTCTCGAGAATTTAATGGATGTTCACTCCGGAGCCAATGATTTCATGTGAGAATCAAATAATGACCTTCGAAATAGAACACCGAATTAATCAGCAAAAGATACACCGAAAACTCATTGTCAAGTCATCCTGTCACCTCACACTATCGCCCGCCAGGAAGGGATATAAATCCGAAAGTTACTTCAAAGTTTTCCATTTTTCTGTGCCACTCTTACGTATTTACTTGCTTGTTTTGTCCTTTCACGCGGCAATTACAGCTTGAGCATGCACAGATTTCGTGCACAGATTTATTACAACACTGCTATACTCTTTTTTGTATTGTGGAAGATATGTTTTGATGCTGGAAGGTTGGAATTCTCCCAAAATGCCCGGTCGATAAGCTTTCCGTTTTTGCGGGGTTCTTCCGTAGTGACAGTGTTGGAATTAGATTGATCAATAGCGCAGTTACAGGTTTTGAATTGCATATCGAATATGTACTTATTGTGAGTACCTTCTACAGCAGTGACGACTCCTGGTGTCGGCGACATCGTCTCTGCAAATAGTGATAGTTATGCTGTGAACGCATACTTTCTTGAGCGGATGTAAGCCGTACCTTCCATGGCGGTTATCACTCCAGGTGTTGGTGACATCGAATCTGCAAGAAGATGACATAGTTCCGCCACCGCTTTGGTTTCGACAGATAGGTGGTGCAAAATTTGCCTTCATGAAACTTTTAGGCTCACTTTTATGACTGCGTGTTAAAAATCTTGGGAGCATTCACATCTAAGGACTGATCATTAAAGGCTTGGAGGTCACTTATGCTTGACCCTAGACGTTCAAGTAAGCGTACGGCACGACGGTAGGTTATCGGCGTAAGTAGGTTGAAATGGTCATTATTGAGGCTTAGCCCTAGCTCCAGAACTTTGCTGCAGATACGTATTAGGTCATCTCATTCAAACATGTGGGAGGTTTTATTCGAATAAAAATCATTAACAGAAAAGATGAAATGCAATTATTTTAGTGTTGAGTCAAGTAGCTACTGTCGTTGACAATCAAGCAGCCTCATTTTCAACTATGTAGTACAGGAAGATGCTCTTTATGTCAGTATCGATGATCGACGAATTGTCGTAGTGCTTGCCAACGAGCCGTGCCATCAATTAGTCAAAAAGTTAAGGTCACACGGCTGTATAAGGGAAAGTACGACGGACCAGTAGGCGTTACTTCCCATGATTCTTTTCGGGCAGTTTCTCAATGGCATTCATGAAAAGCCAACGCTGGTGACATTGTGCGCAGCGTACAAATCAAATTTCTTATATGAACAGCGTCCATTTGATGGTCTTGAATGAAGTTATTGGTAGAAAGATCATTGCTACAGACACCAATTCGATTCTGGACTCTTGCATCTGGGAGTAAATAGGCATCAAAAACATGTTCGTGTGGACCATCGCCAAGTCTTTGGGCACAATTCGGCTAAAGTTTGCAGCAGGACTGCAGGTTTTGCGAACAAATACGACAAAGGTCCTGCATGCGTGCTCCACAACATCTGATTTCAATCACCCGCTTTTCTTGAGCAGGGTTGACAATATGAGCGCGTCCTCAACCACAACTCGCATCCGTTCTTCCTTCTTTGAGCTCTCACACCATATCTTCAATATGGCACTTCGAGAACTCTGTTTCAGACGTAAGTTAAGCCAAAGCACAGAGAATTTAAGCTGCGACTACGCCTCATCTGAGGATATAGCCTTGATTTCGGTCACTGTAGGTTTTTTTGAGTTTTTGGATATTTTCTTCAGCTGCTACGTGGATTGTACTGGGGGTAACCAAATAGATGTGTCAGCTCCGAAACAAAACCAAGCTCAAAGCTGTAGCCCTTTACTTTTCCCACAATTTTTTTAGATGCTTACGATTAGATGAACGAAACTTTCCCTTCAAGCGGGAATCAAACTTGCACCTCGCTCGCTGGGCAACAGCGCTACAAGTTGCGCTATCAGGACTTACGCTTCGCTCTAACTCAGCTTTTCATGGTATATTTACAGAATCAATTTCGTAATTCTATTCGCAGCTCAGCAAAGAAAGCGGTTTCACACCAACGTTCCACGAAATGAAGTGGTTTCACTTTTCTCCCTTCCTACTGTGGCAGTCATATGCTTTTTTCTTGAGAATCCGCATTGATGACCACTAACTCCCAGTCATAGTTTATGTGATTTGGTGACGGTTCTACAGTGTTGTGATTGTGTTCATGATCAAAGGTTGCTTAAAACGATCTGCACTGCTCATACCTTTGATGGCTGTTCGCACAACATATGGAGATGTCGCTTTGCCAGGATGCCTTTCTGATGCTGAAATGTAAATATCGTTTGGAGATGGTTATTATATTGGGCGGTCTCAAATTTAGCTACACTGTTTCGCGATTATAAATTTCATACTGTACCACCGTTGAGAAAAAAGCCACTATTTTCTTTCTCCTACAGAAAATAGGAGAGGGGTTTTCTAGTGTCCAAAATAGTGTTGTAGGCCAGCTTGCCTTGCGCTGCAACCATCCATGTCATCTTCTCTCTTGTCAAGTACAGGAGACAACTCGGACTGACGAACTAGAGCAGGAGCAGGCACGAGTTTAATATTGTGATGGCCTCCAAAATATCTGACAACGTTAAGTTATCTCAACTCGTTTTCAAACCCTTACGTCCGGACAACTAAGTGTTCGAACTTATTGCTCCGTATCCGATAGCCAGACGCTGTAGATTTCGATTGGAGTACCTCCACATTTCAAAATACTATCGTGTGTACTTGTATACATTCTTCGTCGCCTCCTTTCTCGAATGACCAGTGTTCAAGTGTTTGGGATTTGTAAATTTTCTATTAAATTCTAACTTTTCTAGCCTTCTTGCGTATTAAATTGATTGATTACGTCTTGTTGTTTTTGCTTATGCGGAAAATGTTTTTGAGACGCAAGGGACGTATCACTCTTGCTTTCCTCGATTAAACGCAAAGTTCGGGATTTCTGACAAAATTCAGGTTTTCCCCGTCAAATATGCAGCAGTACGCAAGGGCAGACCATGTGCAGAAGTGGCGGGGCGATTTGACAAGGTTTAGGCGCTAGGAGCCTAGGTTGGAGCATTGGCGCCGCCCCAACCCCATTGAGCCCGCCCACTGTTCCATGCGACCTTCCAAACAACCACATGGAACACTAGATGTTAAGTTGTTATTTGGAAGGTCGTAGGAGGATAGGTGGCGGATTTCAACCAACTTCAATATCAAAGCCTATGTTACGGCCATTACAGGAAACTTTGCCACTCATTCTAATGAGAATCAAATTTTTAAAATAAGAAAAACAAACAAAAAAGCGCAAATAAACAGAAAAATAAGGAAAGTTGGAAGAAATCAATTCTCATCGCTGAGTTGTTATAGCCGAGTGGTTGATGGCATAAAGCCAACAGTTGCTGTGAACACGTCCATACACGTATCTCCCAGCCCTGGCTTGTAAGTAAGTAACGAAAAGGAAGTTATAATTTTGAACTATTTTGGGGTGTTCCCTGCTTTTTTCTCCAGGTTCGATTCAGTTAGCACCCAGGGCTTCATATTTGTACAGAGAACTCCCACGTTTTATCCCGTAGTTTGCCTTTAATCCTATTTCCCTTGTTATATTATTATCAGAAGCAAAGACGCGGCACATGCTACTGCCCGTGACCAATGCTTAACAGGAATGGTTTTTTAAATTCTATATGGAGTAGTACGGGTGTGTTGGTTCGGATTCTGATTGATCAACTTGAGACAGAATCCTAATACAATCTGATGTCTGCAGTCGTACTTATTTTTATCAAAAACATGACAAGGATCACCTGCACCGGCCTTCGCATCTACCGGCGTTCGAGCTCTAGCGGTTCGCAGATTGTCATGATCATGGCTCACTTCTGGAAGTTATTTTTATTACTTAATAGGGGTATTATCGGAATTAACTAAGTTCTGCGCTATGAAGCGTAGAGTTGCATTTCAATGCAGTGCAAACTTGAAAATACGACCTATCAACTTACGATTGGAAGGAGGCCATAGTCGTTGAACAGAGACCAAATCCTTATTGCTAATCTCTGTAATAGCAAACCTCAGTTGGAAATCGGTGTGAGACTTTGCGAGTCCAGTGGGGCGCATGCGAATGGTAGGGTGCGAGCGACCCGGCGGTTAGGACGACGCATGCACTAGCGACACGGCAGTGGCGACGTACCCGTGATGCCCACGTTAAGTCTCGCTACTCTTTAATACTCCCACCCCTCCTCTACCTCTCGTTCTTTCATGCCGAATGTGGAGAGAGTCAAAGTGAGCGTGAGAGAGACTCTTGGCACTTTCCCGCACTGTCGAGTCACTGGTAATCGTTCGAATCGCTGGTACATAGTTCCCCCTAGCAGGTCGCTCGCATCCTGCTATTCGTTGAATTTACAGCAACAACTCGAGAGAGATTGCAGGCTAGAAACAGTAGATAATAAAGTTGTAGGTGAATAGCTGACTGATAGCGAAGAGAACAAAAAAACCCCGAAGAGAGCTCCAAACGGGGACTTCCCCTCTGCTCCTTAGCAATGAAGGAAGGGGCGTGTTGGACGAGTTGTCTGAAGTAAGTGACCGCAGTAAATGCGCTATTGCAATTACTGGCAAATAGGCAACAATAGTTGCGAAAAAGAATTAGTCGTTGCGTGATGTCACGTCGCGTGTCATGGGGTGTGCGACAGGTAGCTCATCCAAGAGCCAAGATTAATGGCCACAAGCCGTTTTGTAAGAATCCAGTGCCATTGTCGCATACTTTCGAGCCGCGACAACGGCATCTCTGTGCTACAAGTAGGCTGCTCTATACCATCCAACGAATAGATTCTTCAGCACGACTTCTGCTGGAATTATCGCTTCAAAGCCTGACACCGGATCAAGGCTTGTTAGCTAAAGACTAGGATGACACGAAACACTACAAATTCTTTAATTATCTAATTATGGAGTGACACACTCCATGATGGCTTGACTCGAAAACGGAAGTAGAGACTCGATATGGGGCAAAATGAAAAGAAAACGGAAGGTGTATGTCGAAAACTGTTCAAAGAGGAGCTTCTCTCTGAAGCAGTATACTCTATAATTCACTAATCACCTAGTTATTTGATGAAGGGAGGTCATTTAACGAAATGTTGAATTCTGGATCCACCAAACGGAACAAAGCTTATCCGACGTAACCTACAGCATACAACTAACGTTGTTGAAGTGTTTCTCGACAGGCCAGAAACGATCTTTTGTCTATACCGTTCGTCGCTGCGGGTTTTCTACACTACGCCGAGATAGACACTCCGGGAGGTTTTGAATGCTGGGTACATGTTCATGGGTTTCACCTTCCAGTGGGCTGTGTGGGCTTGAGGCGGTGTCGGAGTATCCATCAGGACAGAGCTGCTCCGAAACCTAAACGGTAACCCGTAACCTTCGAAGAACCCCAAGTGCTCAAAGCCTCGTAGAGACATCGAACAGCCTAAACACATTGGTAAGGCTATCTTTAGGACGAACACCACTACGTTCTCTTCTTATGTTACGGCTGCAGATCTGCTAACCCGGATTTTTCAGCGCTGGAGGCACAACGTCGAAGGCAGAAAAAATCTCAGGGCCGTAGGCTGTCAGGGAAGAGAGAGTTAGCTGATTGCCTGTACCAACAACGGCGACAGCATCATTTAGGTGGCAGGCACTGCAATTGTAATGAAGCTCTCAGTTTAACCCTTTCGGCCCTGGCGGTGGCAATTGCCACCACCAAATTCAAACGCTTGCATTGCCGCTGAAACAGCATGGTTTTTCTAATCCTGCTAGAGGTTGCTTCAGTCAACCTTCCCCTTCCTAATTATGAGCTAAACCTGCCATTTCATTGTGTGTTGCTGTTAGTATTACAAGTATTTGTGTACAAGTGCAACAATGAATCGGCGCTGACCCCCGCAACCGGCCAAGTAAGTGTGACTTTTTCTTAAAATACTTGAAGTAGATCCATTCCTAAATCAAAATTATGGGTTATAATGTTATGCAAGATTATAAACTTTTTCGGCATAACTATGAAATTTCGAATTGTTTCGACATAAGCTTAAAAACTAAGAAGGTGGGCCAATTTTCAAAGCTTCTAGTTTCTTTGTTTGTGATCGAATAGCTTCCAAATTTCGCCATAATGATACCTATATGCTCACAAGTAATAAACAATAGCTAGAAGAAAAATTTCTCCACGGGGAAAAATTCAGGTCCGAAAGGGTTAAGTACCATATCTTTGGCCTCAGCAAAACAAAGCGGAAAGAGTCCCTTGTCACGAACGTTTGCAGTGTTCCTTGGAGCTAGCAGGAGCAGCTCAACATCATGAGGTGTCATTTCATAGTGTCACCTTTTTCAAGCACTGCAAAGCGTGATTCCATAGTCGACTTGCCGTGCTAAACGCGTTCATGAGGGAAATACAATCAGCTGTGCCTGTCTTGCAGCAGACAGGAATGAGCACCATGGCTCACTAGTGATTCGAAGAACTCATATACAGACAACACAGACGCATGTCTTGGTGATGGGCAACTTCATGCTCCCGCAAGACCGGAGAAACGAAAGATTTGTTGGTCCATACTCAGCCAAAGAGCGTAACGACAGAGAGTGGATTTTTGCGAGGATGCATCAATCCAACTATGGTAACAGTCGTCCTCAAACTGCCAGAAAGAAAGTGGGCTCACATAACCTCGAACGAACAGTGCATCATCCGCAAACGGATCACATCTTTTGAACCGGATATTTATGACTGAAGTTCCGGTTGTGCTTTGTGTGAATCAGAGAGCGACCACTGCCTGCTTTGAGGACGATTCCATTCGACTGGAGCCTGGCACCTTTAGAGCCCACACAATATGGGTGATCCTGCTCCACGGCGCTAAGCATACGAGTGGCAAGATTTTCAAGCGCAGAGGAATTCGAAATGACGAAGGACGTGAATTCCGACTGCGATAGGCTCGTACATAGAAGCGGTAACCAAAATCGAAGGGCTTTGTCGTAGTGCTACTATCAACCTCTACTCGTCAATCTCTGTGTCTACATGGCCTCTTGAGAAAGGAATGTTGATTGGTAGAAGAATCACGAGATGTTTACGCTGTTGAATAAGTGATGTAGAAAATGGGTTGCGAAAACCATGCCAAGACTTTAGTTGAGTCGGAAAGAAAGCTAATTCTGGAGATAGTCAGCGGAACTACCGAGCACCCCTTGGATTCCGTATATGAAGGCTGCAGAAGGGTGGCGATGCTTATCCACAGCAGAAATAGGGTGAACTTTGGCAACGTTTCACACTCCCCTCTTCAATTCAGACATTTCGGTTAGTAGGAGGAAAGCATCAGCACAGGACTGAGTATTGTCTTTCTTACGTTGGAGGTACGTCATACGGTGGAAACGATGTCTTGAAGCAAGCTGTCTGCAAACGGAACTTACTGAAGAAAGCACGCGTCCACCTTTGTATCGAGCTAAGGGGAACACGCGCTATGCGACCGCATGTGTCGTTCCCACGGCGTTGAAGCTGCGTCAACGATGTCACCATTCAATGTGATACAGAAGACCGGGTGACTATCTTCCCTCAGGCTTCTCCCGCAAATATTGACATGTTGCATTCTGGCACGTATACGAAGAACGCTGGAGGAAGCACAATCAGTAGAGTAAGCAGGCTTCCACAGTAACTCGAGCATGCTCAAGCATTTCAGACTACAAGAAGGCGTCTGATTCAATGAAATAAATGATTGTCTTGAAGTGTTAAAAACTAAGGTGTCGGGGAAGTTGTTGGACGTGCTGCGGGAATGCTGTACGGATTGCACAATCGTGTTTCGTCTCTTCTAGGAAGACGTCGTGGTTAAAATAGGCAGAGCGCAAGACAAGGTGACTCAATACTATCATCCAATCTTTTGCTATCTGATTAGAATCCGTGAAATGCCGCTCTGACTAGATCGGTTCCGAAGTAAACATCGATGGTGTGCGTGCAGCCATCCCCGATTCGCCGATGGTATTGTTCTCAAAACAAAATCGCCTGAACAAGCTTCTGAGATCTGAATCGTTTGGACGTAGAAAGTAGTCACAACGGTCTCAGTCAACGTCTCAAAAACCAACGTTTTGAAACTCGTGTAGGTCTCCTGTCCCCTCTAAAAGGAAGTTTGGCAGAGGGCGCTCATTAGTATATGTATACAGGGGGGGGGGCAAAAAAATGCCGGCGTTGATGGGAGTTCCTCAGCATAGTATTCCCTAGATGCGGGCCCTCCTTCGCCCTCACCGTCGTCAGGCTCAAGGAGGTCTACCGTAAATGCTTCAGCCTGAAGCTCTTACGCAATTTCGTGAATCGATTTAATGTTGGATAGTTTTCTAGAGGCATTAGCTCCCACTATGCAAATCCCCTCGAAACTAGCTTTCCAGTAAAGGTCGTTATGGTACACGATCCTTCGAAGACCCCATTGAGCTCGACCAGTGCACCATGTTTCCAGGGCAAATTCTTCTGATGCCGTCCACGTAGGTGGCCACTATGAAGATTTTCTTATAGAATGAAATGTGCTCTTCAATAATAAGTTGGAACCATTCGGTCTGAATTGAGCAAAGTGTGCTTAAATCCATCTGAAAGTGGAGACAAAATGTCTTTTTTATTGGTTCCCCTGTATATCTTGGAAGAAGCTGAACGTGAAGAACGCCTTACTAATGAGGGAATGAGGGTCGCAGACTCAGGGGCAGCATTCATCTCTACACACGTTGTAGCGGGTGATGCCAGAAATCGCAAGCTCGGTGCAGGCTTTAGTTTATCGGTGCTGCTTGTTTACAGCTATACCAAAGAGCGATGTTCGACAGTAGAACTGGAGAAGCGACTAGATTGCTCTCAGGCTTCCATTGAACGTCCTCTGATAAGCCTAAGGCTGAGCCATCAAAGAAAGCTGAGCCTTCGCAGTTTCGACGTCAGGTCTATGGCGGATATGAAGGACAACCTAATTAATGCCTATCAATCGAAGCACCGATTTGATGAGCACTCGATGGTTAGGAAAGAAGGATGATAGAGCTCGACCACTGTGCAGTGGTATCCGCGTGAGGGAAGCGGACATTAGGCCTTCCATCGTTAGACTGACTCTTTGGCATTCCGTAACAGCAAATATGATCTTGCATTAATCAAAGGCTTGATCACCTTTGTAATGTGTCAGTGCTAAGGCAATGAGAGAAGGGAGAGGAGAGGCGAGAGAACGCAACCGACTAGTGGTCGCTACACATTAGCCTGCCGCGGAGCAGAGGCATCGCAGCTGCAACTAAGTTTGCAGACCCTAACGCCCTAGGTTGACTTCCACGCATGGGAGTTCCGCATCCCATCGTTCACACTCCTGGGTGGGTTGTGCGTTCGGGATTGTCGTACACTGATCGACCAAGGCAAAAGGCTGGAGGCGCAAAGAAATAGGGACCCGCGCAAGGTCAACCGCCGTGCTGATCAACTGATCGTCCAGGTGCGTAAGAAATTGGGACTTGCGCAAGGCTGAAAGCCGTCTGATGAACGGGTCGTCCACGCATCTAAGTAAGTTAGCGGACGAGTGGGAAACAGACGCCATTTACGCAAAGTGGGTGAATCGATGCTGGGGTTGTACGTGTTCTGTGCTGTAGAGTCATTGCAACTGTACGTGTGTAGAATCAGCTACTCTAATACAGAAGAAAATTGTGCCCCCCAGGTGATCGGAAATTTGCCTCATAACTTGATTGCAATGACACGCCGCCTGGAGGGCGATGCGGTCTTGATGACGTCGTTGGACGCTAATGGTGGATTGAACCCCTGCGCTCGGTATACTTCCATCGTCTTACCACCGCTAACGCTCAAGGACATGATCAAGAACGCTACGCTTTACGGCCATCGCGCCCATTGCCTTTACTCTTCGTGATTCTACTATAAAAGGTAAAACAAACGTTGTGTTGTAGCCTGACGTGGAGCACTTTCTTTTAAATGAGCGCTACGAGCTTTATCGAGCATCTCATCAATTTCCCTCTCGACTGTTCTCTTCTCCACCGTCTCCACTATTACTTCGGTAGATGATGGCAATCTTGCCGTGTTAATTTTCGGCGAACTGGCTCGACCGGCTGCCATCGCTCTAGGTGGTGTTCGGCTTCGAGCTGTGGCTACACGTGGAGATGCGGCCGGATCGCTGCTGGCATTTCTGGCAAGATTCCAGCCTTCTTTATCGTTTCCAGCTACTGGTTTCCTTCCAGAAGCTGACGTAGGTGAAAAGAAGTCGGTATGAGTTAGTGCTGTCCTTGTTGAGCGCCCTGGCAACCCAGGAGACGCTGCCAAACGGGCCGTTTTCGTTTCACTCTGTTTAGTTCTGAGCGTTGTTTCTGCTGGTTTTCCATCATTCGAAGTCTTCGTCGTAGTTTTTATAGTTGTAATCTCAGTGGTACGTGTGATAGTTCTCGTCTTGTGTGTCTTTGGGCTTCGTGCGGTTCTGATATCTTCTTGTTTTTCAGCACTCGCTTGCCTAGAGCGGTCAATAGAATTTCCGGGTGTTGTTTTCATATGCGATCGCTTCGACATAGCTGTGGGTGGGGTGGTCGCACTCCATGTTGGCGGCCAGGATGTGCTACGACTTCTTGCTGTTCTCCTCTCTGTCGATTCTTTGCTTTTGCGCTCAGTAGATGCTGAATTCGCAGCCGATAAATCTCGCACACTTTTCCATGTACGTGGGATAGATGTACTTCTTGCAGTACTGACATCCGTAGCTCTGCTTTTGCGTTTGGATCGCGCTGATGATGTCGATATCTTGGGCACACTGGTACTCTTTGAAGTACTGGCGTCACCCTGTACCTCGACACTTCTAGAGTGGTCAGTAGACCTGCTAATATTCGCTGTCTCAAGCTTGGATTTCCGCGACAGAGCCGGAGGAGGAGTTGAACTGGCACTTGATGCACGCGTTCTAGGAGCGCTTCTTGCCGTTCGTACTGATGGTATGCTTCTACTCCTACGCCGTGCAGTTGAAGTCGATCCCTCGCGCATGGTGGTGCTTCGTGCAGTCCTCACTTCGGCGGGTGCACTTATATCAGAACGTCCTGAGCGTTCAGGAGGTGGAGGTGTAGCACTTGATGAGCGAGTTCTCGGAACGCTTCTGGCGGTCTTTGCAGATGGTATGCTTCTACTCCTACGCCGTGATGTCGAAACTTCGCGCTTGGTGGTACTCATTGCGGTCCTCACTTCGGCTGAGCGATTAGGAGGTGGAGGTGTAGTGCTTGATGTGCGAGTTCTAGGAGCGCTTTTCGCGGTCCACACAGATGGTATACTTCTGCTCCTACGTCGGGCAGCTGGAGTCGGTACGTCACCCTTACTGGTACTTTGCGCAGTCCTTACATCAGTTTGTGGTTTACCTCGAGACTGAGATCGGCTAACTCGTCGGGCTTTAGAGACGCTACGGCCGCGGGTAATGGCAGGAGCCTTGTCTTGAATCTTGTGGATCATGAGCAAGTCAGTAGGAATTGCTGATGGACCTTGCGGTATGTGACGCGTGACTCGTCCGCAGGGCGATCCAATGGGAACGGCAGTGCTTACGTGTTCACTACTTGGTGTTGCTGCCACCGTCGACATGGCTGCTACACCCGCCGTCGAAATAGTTGCTGTACCAGATGACTCGTGTAGTACTGCAGTGTTGGGTGTTGCTAATACTGTGGGACCTGTTGGTCCATGGAGCACGTCGGTGTTGGCTGGTCTAATCGCCGTTTCTCGTTCCTGCATCTCTGTGACGCGCGTCTCCACAACTTTCATTGCAACTTCAGATGTAGTGGTTGCGCTTGTCGAAATAATTCCAGTGCGGGAGGGTCCGTGTTGTACAGCGGTGTTAGGAGTCGCTACAGTTGTGGGACCAGATGACACCTCAGTATTTGCTGATCTAGGTATCGCTTGCTGTTCTGGATGTGCTTCTGTAGCTTGCAGTTGAGGAGTTGAAGCGGCGGCATGTTGCGGTGTGGCTGTAGCCGTTGAAATTATTGATGCACCGGATGGTCCGTGAAGTACCGCAGTGTCCGGTACCGAGATGATTGCCAATCCAGATGGTCCATGGAGTATATTCGTATTAGCTGCTGGTCTTTCTGCTGACGAACTTCTTGCAGCTCGTGTTGCTGATGCGGCTTGCCGTGCTTCGGGAACTCCTAAAAGTAATATCATTGACTGAAGTCATTGTTTTCTTTAACCAGTTCAGCTCCGCACACTACCGCGTGCATGACACGGAAAAGCTCCGTAAAGCTGCCAGCCGGCGGAGCGTTAGGTTCCGCCGCTAAACAATAACTTGCTTCGTGAAATGCGTTAGCTGGCCTTCCATAGAATGCCCATTTTAACCAATCGTCTGATACGCGCGGTGGAGTGCGGAGCTAAAGTGGTGTCTGTAAACAACCACCATGCATTGGATGTCAGGATGATTTAGCGGTCGAATAATATTGATGCCAATGATTTTGCAATAGAAATACCCATTATCGTATATCGCTAAACATCCATCATACATTCTTAGGGACTTTGGGATTGTAGCGGTCGAACGGTATTTTATGTTGATGACAACAACGCAATGAGATGATACTGAAGTGAAATGCGTTATCTAGAATATGGTTTTAAATGGTCTCTATGTTCCTACGAATATCGCAATTATCGGCCCTTATCGGCCCTTATCACTTCCTGTACCCCAACGAACATGTTCCTCGCTGCCCTGAACAGCAGGGGCGGCGTCGTTGATCGCTCTCACACTAGTGCTGGCATTGTGCACTGGAAAGCCTGCAACCGCGCTCTGACGCAAACGTGGGTTACGGTATACATCCTATGTTCCTTAACTTATAATCTTGTGTGTGCATAAGTGAGGCTGGTGACTGGTATCAGGTTTGTCGTATAAGGAAGCGTTGCTAGCTGAATAAAATAAAAGCTGAAGAGAAGCTGAGTGAAAAATTTGCCCTTT